AATGTAGGCTGTTGAACAGTATGTAATAAAAGTATTTTCAGAGGTTTGGATTCTGAATATGACCAGACTTCTCCTTTAACAACCTGAAAAGATGTTTCCAAAAGTCTGATTGTGATTTAACATGAGCTTTGCCCCCCCACCACACAGGAAGTTGTATCCCCCTTATTACCCCCAGTTGGGTTTGGCCCTGATGAGGGCGGGGGTCACTCACTGGCACGCAGGACAGGTGGAGGTGGGACATAAGATGATCTGTAAGGCCTATCGCATCATGATAGTCACTCATGGGCCGAACCACTCCATCACCAAAGACCTGGAGGTACTTCCTGTTGAGTGCATTCTGAAAACACGGTTCTGTTCTTTCAAGATTTCTAATGATAATCTGGCTTTGCTGTTCTTCCAGTCCATGCGGTCACTGACCGAGCTGGAGCTGAAGGCGCTGAAGGAGAACGTTTTGGACATGAAGAACCTGCAGATGACCAGCAGCAGCTCTGCCGATGAAAGCAGCAAGGATTTCCTCCGCAAGCAGTGAAAGAGTCGAGGCTAACATTTTACTTCCATAACAACATCCTGTAAAATATGGAAAATATTTGCAATAAAACTAAAACCACTCGTGTTGTATTTAAACTATGTTTCCAGAGAATTCTGGGAGGTTTTATTTGTCACTAAATGTTTCGATATAAACCGTTGACCTAATAGATTTGGGTTGTTCCATTTCTTTACATGGCTGCAGGTGGATAAGGTTTGATGCAGAGAAACCTGGACAACCTGCACAGATTTCTGTCCCCAGGCTTATAGAGTAACTTTAGGAGGAATTGGATCACTGATTTCTGGTTTCCACATCTTACTATGAATCCCGTGTTAACCTAGAGGTAAATGTTTACAGAACAGTTAAAGGGCGACTCTTAGCAGAGTAGAAGTTATGTTAACTCTACCCAGCTCTTTAGTTTAGGACCATAAATTATTAAATTAAAAAGCATAGGTTTAAAAATATGTGTGAAAATCTGGTGATTTATTTGGAAAATATTGATGTTGTGCTTGTTCATTTTCCTGCTGGTACAATCCGATTAACGTAGATGGACCCTGAAGTTGTTTGGACCCGTCCATTTTTCAGCCACCCCTTCTTTGGTCTCTGAATAGCCAGCCCTATGAAAATGTTCTGGCCTCCAAGGTATCACATCATTTCCAAGAATTCAAAATGTGATCCAAGGTGTCAAAATGATCTGCAAGGATACTTAAAGGTCCTACGTCATGCTCCTTATAGCCTTTTCAAAGTCAGCTATAAATATATATTATGAAATAATGGTTTTAGCACTAAAAAGTAGTTATTTAGGGCTTTAAAACTCTAAATAAGTACTCTAGGGTGACCTGTAAAGTGTTGAGAGGACTTGTGTTATTAATTGGCTCTATATAAATAAACAGAATTGAATTGAATTAACAACTTTAATTACTAACAATTAGTTTAATTATCGATTATTGTAAAAAATAATGAAGTAATTGGACAAAAAAAGTAATTTATTGCTTAACCCTCTTAGTAGGAACACATGGAAAAATTGAAATGATTCAGTTCTGTTTTTAATAACAAAATAAAAAGCGAGCTATTTGAAAAGCTCTCCTTGCAGATTGTGTTCAGGATGTAAGTATATTTTTTCTTTAAAAAGGATAGTTCAATTTAAATTAAACAGAACTCTTAGATTACTTAAGAGTTTTTTTTGTTTTTCGTTCCAAAAAAAGAAAAAAAAAGAGAGAAAAACATTTATATTCTTCAAAAATGGAAGCTGCTGATTTATCAATAATATTATTTAGGCATAATACAAACTTCCCTCTCAGCTCCACCCCCATTTCCACATAATGGTATGATCTCCCATGCTGACCAACCCACGGCCTTGCATTGTGAGAGCTGAGCTGCTGCAGTTGAAGCTTAGAAGTGCAGCTTTCTTTTTATTGAGTTTAAAGTGACCCTTCACCTTTAAATCTTACTCCCGGCTTCTTTTTTTTACCTGTTTCCTTCTCCCTCCATCGCTCATAACCACACTTGGTATTCATGTATAAGCAGAGTTGCAGGAGCCACCAATCAGGAACAGTTCTTTTAAAAGAAGCCTGGAGCAGATCATTTATTGCAATGATGAATTTTAGTAATCAATGTCCTTAAATAATTCCACAATTCCCTACAGCCCTATATTAACTTATGTTATATGTTTTTTTTCCCCAACCAGGAAGAAAAACACTTTCATTCAAAGCTATGTCACCCATTCCATGATATGGCCAAATCACACTATTTCTGAAGGTTGAACAAAACGAAAAAAAAAAATAAATTTTTTTTTTTTTTACAAATTAGATATTAGCAGCAAAAAAGAAAAGTTAATGTTAATGGAAGAGCAACTTCATCTTAACTTTGATCCAGAATCATTGTTGTGCCTCTTATTACCCGTCCCTGATCAGAGACAGCTGGTATTTACTGACCGTGCAGGCGAAGCGCCGTCAAGCTAGTTGCTTCCTGGACGGGGCAGGTAAAGTCGGCTCTACGCAGAAATGCCTCATAATGCTAAAAATTTCATTTACCTGCTCAAATTGAGGGGAAATACACTTAATTTAGGAAATCTTTACTTATTTCTAGAACGTTTTTGCAGTCTAGTTCTAAATCGATTAATTTGTATTCGATCTGTTTTTACAATAATGAAAGTGGTTCAACTGTGTTTCAAAATACTCATTTATTTTTTCCTGTCATATTAAACACAAAGTGCAAACTTGTTTTAAGAAAAGGGAAAAAGTGAAGCCTCACACGAGCAAGCAGACGTGACACGGCGAGGACACAGCAGACATTCCTGAGCTGCATTATCTTCACTGCACAAACTGTATTTGCAGCATTGTCTCTAACAACTACAGGGTGTCTGCTGGTCAGCCTCCATTTGTTAATGTCCTTAGTTAAACCTATCGGCTATATTTGCAGCTGTCTGGCTTGAAGTCATCTTGTTGGTCTGTAGCACGAGATGCGAGGCGCCATTATTATCAATGTAGTGGGAAGTCACCTTAATATCACATATACAGCACATTATCTTTAGCTGTTTTAAATCCAAAATGGTTCCAGACTTCATTTGGGACAGCTTGCTGAGCGGCGTGTCACTTGGGTCGGCATTTGCACACGGTGCACATTTGAATGTGAACGTCACGCGCGTCACTATAAAACCAATCGATCTCGTTCCCTACACTTTTATTTTGCAAAAATGTAAAGGAATCGATTTAAAATCGATTAAAATCTATCAAGTTTTATATTCATTATGGAACCAGCAGTATCCAAGAGTTCAAACTGGTGTCCCAGGATCCAGATCACCTCCGAAACATATTCAAATCATAAAACGGTTAAAATGAAATTGGATTGTAACGGCGTCCATAGATCTAGAAGCCAAAGTGTCTCCAAATTCAAGAAATACCTGAATTCCAGGCATTGATCCACCTAACCAAGAACAAAAAACTGTTTCCAAGGAAAAAGAGGGTCCAATTCTAAGATTCAAAAACATCCTTTTCTTAAAAAACTAAGTGTGGTGATGGTCTAAAACGTCTTTATAAAGCAGTAACAAACTGAATAAAAAACTTTGCATATTTCAAACATGAACATTTTATTCAAAGTTGTTTTTATTTTCCTAGTAAAAACAACACGGCAGAAGGAAAACCGCGGTAGGAAAGCCAAACACCCAAACTATGGGAGGAAGGTGAAAAATAGAAGCTTGATATCAGTAAACATTGATGTCGTCTGCATAGAGTTCAAGTCACACAGCACTGAGCTTCGGTATATTGCTTTTAGACCCCAACTTTTTAAACCTTCATGTTGTTTTCACTTTAAAAATAGACTTTACGGAAACACAGAAACCACACATTAAATAAGAGTTTAAAGCAGAATCTTAAATTAAAAAAACAACATAGAAAAAGAATTAGAGTGAATGTGTTCTTCAGCAGCGGCACGTGGAGTTGTTCACAACTCCTGAATTAGTGTTTTTATTCCAGCAGAAGTCCGGATCAAACCTGAACTAACATTTCAAACCATAACTGATTACGATGTAGCGACTGGGATCCAGTCAGGAGGTCTTCTGAGAAGCCCCGCCTCTTACGCCTCATTGGACGACACAGAGCTCTGTGCTGGACTGACTGTGAGTCTCTGCATCTTTCTGAGTCCTGCTGTGTTCTTCTGCCACTGAGTCAAGCTCGCCTGATGGGGGCGCTAAACTCTGCCGGAGCTCCATCAGTATCTCCTTCCCATCGCTTGCTGGCAGGTTTCCCAGGAAGTACTGAGGCGTCAGCTCCACAAGCCTGACATGGAGGAAAAAAACATTGTTAACTACTTTATAGAGAAAGGAAAATGATTAGATCCAAATCAATAAAATAGCGACAAAATTATATAATGTCAAAAAGATTTCATGTTATTCAAATTTCTAAAGATCTAAGCATTAACACCCATCAAGTAAAAGCTGTGAAATAAGTTATTATTCAGGTTAGGCTTACAGTTTAAATGAGATCCTTATTTAGATTAGGAAATCAAGGCTCTAATCAATAATGTCTAATGATCAATATGATAGGCTGATATTGTGATACATTTTTCAGCTATATTGCACAGCACTAAATTAGGTTTTTCATATATTTGGGACTGTGTTTCTCAGATCCATGCTATTTTTCTATAGATAAACTGTCAAAGGATCGGCATTTTATTTGTCATATGCCTCCTCAAAAACAGAAGTTTAACCTAAAGTTGATCGAAAAAAGTTTCTTTTTGTGCGAATTAAAAAGCAAGTACTCTACAGCTGTGGCTTAAGCATGCTAATGACACAAAAAGCATGTAATGCAGATGTTCATAACTAATTGTGTTGATGTTTACCTTCAAAAACGAGGTTATGTTTTTAGGAGTTTCTGTGTGGTTTTGTCTGTCGGTCTGTTTATAGGACAACTTGAAAAGTTATGGGGGAATTTTAATTACATTTTTATCAGGTGTCCCTCATGCAAAGGAACAATTCATTTAAATTTGGTAATGATCCAGATCTTAATGTGGGTACAGATATTTTGTTAAAGATTCTCTAACATTGTGATATTTTTCTCACTAAATCAGAGAGTTTCAGCAGTGACTATTGACACCATCATCATCCGAAGACAAAAAAAAAGAAAAAAGAAAAGGGAATGTTGTCTGTATGTTAGCAGGATCAATTGAAAACCTATGAACAGATTATAAGGATTTCTTTTTACCAGAGGCGCCTGATGCTGAGGAATAATTCATTTAGATTTGATAACGATCCAGATCATGTGTGAGTTTCAGCTATATATGTAAGTGACAATTTGGGAAAAAATACGCTGCTTGGTGGAGGTCTGTAATTTCCGAGGACTTTTCTAGTTTGATTAACTGAGAGGTGGGATCTGGATTCTACCTTTTTAAATGCAATAATAGCGAAAGGAGGATAAAACAAAACATTAAAAAAATGATTGATCTTTGAAAAACATCTATTCAGGGCTTAAAAAAGCCTCATCTTGTAACACTGAGACTGAACTACTAAAATCCATCAAATATTAGTACTTCAAGATGACAGAGAAATTATGAACATTACTCTGGAAAAATAACTCAAATAGCAAAGTGATCTGAACC